CACCTCGCTCAGCCAGTGAGCGGCCGGTCTGTATGTGGGATCCGAACCCTCGGCGGGAGCGCCGCTGCGCTCCCAAGCGGCGCACCGTAGCAGTGCGCCACTGGGCCAGCCCCTCAAGTGCACCTTAAACCATTGAGGCCTCAGGCCAAAGCTGGCTTGGGGGGAATCTGGGTCAGCTCCTGGCTGGGGCTATGAGGAGTGGGGCTCAGGAGCTGGCCCAATGGTCCATTTGCCTCTGAGGCCACTGGGGTCTATGAAGCCCCCGAACCTGAGGAAATCGGGGTCATGCAAGCCCTAGGGTGCCTGGGCTGGTCAGTAATGAGCATCTTGCTGACCCCTCCCGAGGGTTTGGGAGGAGGGTGAGAAGGAGGGCCCCAAGGACAGCTCAGAGCAATTCATGTTGGGCCACATAATCCGGATGCCACCCCCGTCCCCATTCTGCACCCCTACGTCCTCTCCTAATCTTAAGCATTTATCCAAGTCACAATGGAGACCTCCAGACTGAGAGATCCTGGAAAACACAGGGTCCAAAAGGAGCTGAGACAGAAAGGGACCCCATAAAGAGGCAGGACAATCCCCTCATGGGTAAAGTGGGCCCACTTGATAACCCTTCATAGTAAAAGAAGAGTAGGTCCAAAGTGCCTGTGAAAAAGAGGGCTTTCAAAATAACCCTAAAATGGCATAAAAGAGGGTGCACTCACATGTATTAGAGCAAACCCTGGGAGGGCTCCGGGACCTGGGGCAGGACTGGTGAGTGCACAAAGCACACGTGGGGGCCCTTCCTTTAAACCTTATTAGGAATTTCAAGATGGTGACCCCAGAGCATTAAACTAAGCTCGGAGGCCTGTGTGAGGTAAAGCAGTCTCAGCAGCCGTGCTTCAAGGCACTGACCTGTAGGTCTCTGGTGGCAGGTGGGGACGTCCCTCAGAGCCCCTCCTACAGAGGTTCTGGCCTGCAGGGGCTCTTGGGAGCTGGCTACTAGCCATCTCTTTTCTTCTAGTCCTGACAGGACACCCTGTCCGGCTCCTCAAGGAGGAGGGGGAGGCCGTGCCTCAGTTGCTGTAGTAGGGTGTTCAGAGCAGGCCCTGGCATTTCGTAAGCGCTCTATAAATTAAATGATGCCCCATGGAGAGATGTGGCCCCCTCATTGTTTCTCACAAATGGTTCTTGTGGTGCCCCCATAAGAACCTGCAGTAAAAAAGGGCCTGAGCTTGAGTCCCTCTACTGTCCGCCACTTGCAAGGGATGGGACTTGGGGTAAACCACACTTCGCTTCTCTGGCTTGGTTCCCTTGCCTATGAGATGGGGTGTAAGATCCGTCTCTCAGGCTGCTGTGGTGTATATGGACGCTCAGCCAGTCAGTGCTCCACGAACAGTACCTACACAGTTATTATTTCGAGGCTGAGGTGCCACCTCCCGTGACCCTCCTTTGCACCCTGGGTCTGTTTCTTCATGTGTGAAATGGGGAAAGGGTAGGTGTCAGATGACTTTTTGAACCCCTCCAAGCTCTAAAAGTTCCCAAAGTTTTAAAAAGAACCCTTTTCTTTCTTCTCTTGCAAGTCAAGACTTTCACAATATAACAATTATATAATATAAACACTTATATGGTGTTGCTATGGGTTAAATTGTGTCCTCCCCCCAAAAGATATGCCAAAGTTCTAACCCACAGTACTCAGAATGTGACCTTACTTAGAGATGGGGTCTTTCTAGAGGTAATCAAGTTAACATGAGGTCATCAGGGTGGGCCCTAATCCAATATGACAGGTGTCCTGATAAAAAGGGGACATTTGGGCACAGAGAGAAGATGACATGAAGACACACAGGGACAACACCTTGTGAGAATTAAGGCGGAGATAGGGTGATGCATCTACAAGCCAAAGAACATAGAGGCGGCCGGCAAACCACCAGAAGCCACCCAGTTTGTGGTACTTTGTTACAGCAGCCTTGGCAAACTAATACAGGTGCCAACAAGAGCCAGGTGCTGGCCTAAGAATTACCCCTTGGCTCACCCCTACTCCCCACTTAGACTTGAGTGCTAAAGGTGTCACCTACATGCACACAACCCTTCCACCTGCAGAGGACCCCAGCCCTCACAGCTCTCGAAGGGAAAGTCACAGGAGGCAGAGGGCTGGCCAGGAGTCCTACCCAAGGCCCTATCATCTGCTTCTTGGGTGACCTGGGGCACATCCTTTGAGCTATCTGGGTCTCAATGTCCTGACCTGTCAAATGGGTGGATAACCCTTGCCCTGCCTTGCTCAGTGTGTGTATGGGGTGGGTGGGTAGCTGCTGAGGATGAGGGAGACTCTGGATGGGAAGGTGGAAGAGTCCTCTGTAAGCCAGAGTGGACGTCCGTGAGGACACCCAGCCTTTGACCCCATGCCCATTGCCCCTTTCCCCCAAACCTTCAGGATCTTTTCCAGCTGCTTCTGCGTGTCTACCACGATGACGTTGGCACGGCAGTCATGGGCGATGTACTGGCAAGCCTCAGGGGAGCTGGTTGTGTAGATGCCAGTGACGATGCCACTGGAGGAGACCCGAGAGGATTTGTGTCTTTGCAGGTGCACAGGGCCACTCCCTCGCCCCGCCCCACAACCCATATCCCCCAGCCCCAGAGTTCCATGACCCCAACAGTCAGGGTTGCCATGCCATCTCAGCCCAAGAAGGCCCCAGGGCACAGAGGGCATATTGGAGAGCAAGTAGGGGGCCCCCTAAAAAGAGGTAATGGCTTCTCTGTCCATCTCCAACCCACTGGAGACCCTATCCCTACCCCGGCCACTCACCCTGCAAATACTGTGCCCACTGCTGAGAAGAACCACTCCGGGGAGTTGAAGCCAAGGATGGCCACGCTGTGGGCCCGCTCCAGGCCGAGCTCCAGGCCAAAGACAGAAAGACCAGGTCAGCCAAGCAGGGATGGGACCTCTCCCTCCCCCAGGCCTACCACCCAGACTCAGGGGACCCTGCAGGCCCATCTCAGCAACTGCTGCTCTAGGGTCAACCCAGTCAGAGAATTCTCTGGGGGATCAGTCACTCAGTAGCCCTTGCTGCTCCTGGCTCCTAGACTAGCACACCAGGCTTCCCAGCCCACCCTGAATGTGATAACAAATGAAAAGCTCGTGTCAAGTGCCTGGCACATGGTAAAGGCTCAGTAAGTATAAAATTCTCAGTACAGGGCCCAGCACATAGCATTAGCTCAATAAGTGGTGGTGGTTTGTACAGTTATTATTTCTAGGGGCCTTGTCTGGTGGGCAGACGGAGAGGAGGCCTGCGAGGGCCTGGAGCAGGAAGGAAGGCCTGGGGAAGGGAAAGACCACGCCTCAAGGGGCCCCCTCACCTTCAGGAAGCCCTTGGCAGCTTTGCGGGCAAGCAGGTAGTACTGGAAGTAGGAGATGTGCTCCCACTTGTCCTGGCGCTTGAAGCCCAGGGCGCTGAGGTCCCCATACTTGTCCAGAGCCTTGGAGAACATCCGATGTACAGTGCAGGGAAGCTGTGGGCAGCTGGGGTCTATGCGCAGACGGACCCGTCCATCAGCCTGAGTAGTCCACAGCGCCTTCTCTGGAGCGGGGGGAGACCACAGTTTGGATTGTGCCACCCTGAGGTTGTCCCCAGGAGACCCTAGCCCTGCCCCAGGCAGAGCTCCTAGCACTGCTGATGCTGGCAAGCCAGGGCCTGGGGTAGGCTGGGAGGCTGCCTGGAGGAGGAGGTCTGACTCAGCCTTTAAGGATGAGCATAGCTTAGGGATGCAGCAGGCAAGAGGAGAGGAAATAGCTGGACAGGAGGAGGAGGTGCTAGAGACACTGAGGCCCCTAGACCTTTGATCCAAGCTGGAATTTGCCTCCTGAGAATGGGCAGTCAGGAGTGGACTTGGGCTGCCTCAGAACAGTAGGACTGTCAGCTCTCCAGCTGCCTTCAGGGTTTCCACCCTTCCCCTTCCTCCTGTAAATGGGCTGGGGACAGACCCAATTGGACAGAAGGTCAAAGCATCAAAAAGAGTGACCCCCCTGAGGATCTGGAGGAGATTGAAAACCCCCCGTTTCTGATCTCCAGCTTGAAAAATCTGGTTTACTCAGGTGGTTAGAGTGCATTACAACACCAAGATCACGGTTTCGGATCCTCAGGCCAGCCAGCTGCCAAAAAAAAAAAAAAAAAAAAAAGGAAGAAAAGTCTCTCAGTCCCAGAAAATAACAACAGCCTTTGTTCACCCTCCCTCACACGGGGCATTGCTCAATCTTCACAGCACAGGTTCCGACAGCCCCTCTCAGTCAGGCAGCTGCAGCTCAGACAGGTTCAGTCATTTTCCCAAGGTCACACATCAGGGAAGTGGCAGAGTCAGGATTTGAACTCCAGTGTGCCTGATGCCACAGCTTGCACTTGGGACACTGTCAGGGGCACCAGCCAGCCTTTAAGGGTCAGGCAGCTTACTCTGTGTGGTGGGTGGGGACAGAGACTTACCACTTAGTATGCGAGACTTTGGCAAGCCACTTAACCACTGAGTCTGCTTCCTCAGGGGAAAGGTGAGGATTCTGTCCTTAGGGTGAATACGAGGATAGACAGAAATAGGGTAGATGAAAGAGCCTTGGCATGTTAGTGCTCAGTAAACGCACGCTTTCCCTCTTCCTCACTTTTCCAAGTTCTCCAAATTGTTTGCAAAGGAAGCTTGGACAAGTGGTCTGGACACTTTGGGCACTGTGGAGCCTCCTTCCCCTGGGGCAAGCGTGGTCACTCTAAGAAGATGACTGAGGGAGTGAGGATGGTCCTGCATGACTCGGGCAGCACTGCCACCAGCTAGTCAGGCCCACTTGTTGGTTGTTCTTCTTGGAGGTGGCACCAACAAGGTGCCCTGTCACCAATCCTTCCAGAGGTGGACAGACAGACTGGATGACCTTGTCCCTCCCCTCTGACACTCGTAGGTTGCAGAAAGAGGTACAGATCTTGGGGCTGCGACAGGACAGTCCTTGCCCTGTGGAGGGCTCAGAGTCGGGGACCATGGGACATATCCAGACCCACACAGGAGAAGGGAATATATGAAGCAGGGGACATGGCAGCCTGCAGGAAATGCAGGTTGGGGAAGGGGACAGGCCAAGATCATGCTGGCTGGCATCCACTCACCCTTCCCAAGACGGGAGCCCCCGTAACTGGCCACTGCCAGAGCCCTGTGCCCTCGGGTAGAAGCATTAGCCAAGGGCCGCTGAGCCCCCTCCAGTCTCTCTTCAGGCTTCTCCAACCCTTCCCCCATGTCTCGGGACCCCACCCTGGCAGACCCAATGATCAGCCTCTTCAGAGTCTCCAATCCTGCATTTTGCCAAAGTCCATTCATGGAGCAGACAGGTGAAAAGAGGACAGGCTGGGGAGTCTGGTAAACCTGGGGTTGAAACTGTGATCCTGCCACTCCCTGCTGTGTGACCGTGACAAGTCGTGCTCCTCTCAGCTGCATCTAGTCATCTGAAAGTGTGAGGGGCTGGTGAGGACGTGGAGAAGCCGGGGCCCTCACACAGTGCTAGTGGGAAGCTAAGATGGGACAGCTATGCACGAAAACAGCTTAGCAGTTTCTTAAAGAGTTAAACAGGACCATTTGACCCAGCAATTCCACTCTTAGATATCTACCCAAGAGAAATGAAATCACACATCTCTATGAGCACTTTTATGTGGATGTTGATAGCAGCATTATTTATAATAGTCAGTGAATGGAAACAACCCAAACGTCTATAGACTGGTGAATGAAAAACAATGTGCTATATCCATACAATGGTACTAGCCTGTACTAGTCCAGCCTTAACAAGGTACTGATACGGGCTGCAACATGGATACAATCAAAAAGGTGTTCAGTGAAAGAAGCCAGATGCAAAAATACCACATATTGTATTATTCCATTTATATGAAATGTCCAGAAAAGGCAGAAAGCAGATTAGTGGTTGCCTGGGGCCAAGGGTGGGAATGGTGAGTGACCACAAAACAGGCACAAAGGACCTTGTGGGGGTAATAGAAGTGTTCTAAAATTGGATTGTGCTGATGTTTGTGCAACTCTGTAAATTTGCTAAAAATCACAACAAAAAAAGAAAATACAGGCTAATATTCCTGATTAACACAGATGCAAAAATCCTCAACAAAATACTAGCAAACCAAATTCAACAGCATACTAAAAAGATCATTCACTATGATCAAGTGGTATTCATTGCAGGGATACAAGGATGGTTTAACACACACAGATCAATAAACGTAATACACTACATTCACAGAAAGAAATAGACACAGAAAAAGCATATGACAAAATCCAACATTTCTTCAGGATAAAAACTCTCAACAAATTAGGTATAGAAGGTACACACCTCAATAGAAAAAGGCCATATGTGACAAATCACAGCTAAAAAGATACTAAATAGGGAAAAGTTAAATGCTTTTCCTCCAAGATCTGGACAAGACAAGGTTGCCCACTTTCACCAGTACTGTTCAGCATAGTGCTGGAAGTCCGAGCCTAGAAAGAAATGAACAGCATCCTTTTAAAGGAAGAAGTCGAATTGCCTCTGTTTGCAGATGACATGCTCTTACATATAGAAAATTCTAAAAACTTCACAAGAAACTATTAGAAATAATAAATGAATTCAGTAAAGTTGCAGGATACAAAATCAACATACAAAAATCAGTAGCATTTCTGTATGCCAATAGTGAACTATCTGAAAAAGAAATCAAGAAAACTATCCCATTTACAATAGCTACAAAAAAAAAAAAAAAAAAAAAAACCTAGGAAAAAATTTAGCCAATGAGTTGAAGGATCTTTACACTGAAAATTATAAAACGTTGATGAAAGAAATTGAGGAGGACACAAATAAATAGAAAGATATCCTGTGTTCATGGATTAGAAGAATTAATATGCGGGTACTTCAAAAAGTTCATGGAAAAATAAAATTAAAAGATAACGTGAATCTTTCCATGAACTTTTTGAAGTACCCTAGTATTGTTAAAATGCCCATACTAACCAAAGTCATCTACAGATTCAATGCACTCACTATCAAAACACCCATGAAACTCTTCACAGAAGTAGAACAACAATCCTAAAACTCATATGGAACCACAAAAGACCTCAAATAGCCAAAGCAACTTGAGAAAACAAACAAAAAACCCCATCAAACCAAAGCTGGAAGCAGCATACCACCTGATTTCAAAATATACTACAAAGAAAGCTATAGTAACCAAAACAGCATGGTTTTGGCATAAAAACAGACACATAAACCAATAGAACGGAATGGAGAGCCCAGTAGTAAATCCACGCATCTACAGCTGACTGATTTTCAATAGAGGTGCCAAAAATACTCATTGGGGAAAGGACAGTCTCTTCAATAAATTTAATATCCACATGCAGAAAAATGAAACTGGACTCCCATCTTTCACCAGATACAAAAATCAACTCAAAATGTATTAAGGACTTAAATGTAAGACCTGAAACTGTGAAACTTTAGAAGAAAACATAATAGAAACACTTTATGACATTGGCCTGAGCAAGGATTTTTTTGGATGAGACCTCAAAAGCACAGGCAGCAAAAGCAAAAATAGACAAGTGGGATTACGTCAAACCCAAAAGCTTCTGCACAACAAAGGAAACAATCAGCAGAGTGAAGAAACAACCTACAGGGTGGGAGAATATATTTGCAAACTATACATCAGACGAGAGGCTAATATCCAGAATATATAAGCATAAGGAACTCAAACAACTCAATAGCAAAACAACCCACAAATAACCTGATTTTTTTTTTTTTTGTCTTTTGTCTTTTTCCGTGTCCGGCAACGGATCGCAACCCTCAGTGTTGCCCCCGTACCGGACCGGGGACCGGCAACGGGATCGCAACCCTCGGTGTTGCTCCCGCGCCTCGCTCAGCCAATGAGCGGGAACCGGTCTGTATGTGGGATCCGAACCCTCGGGTGGGAGCGCTGCCGCGCTTCCCAAGCGGCACACTATCCAGTGCGCCACCGGGCCGGCCCATAACCTGATTTTAAAAATGGGCAAAAGACCTTAATAGACATTTCTCAAAAAAAGACATACAAATGGGCAACAGGTGTATGAAAAAATGCTCAACATCACTAATTATCAGGGAATGCAAATCAAAACCACATTGAGATATCACCTCATACCTGTTAGGATGGCTATTACCAGAAAGACAAAAGGTAAATGGTGGTGAGAATGTGGAGAAAAGGGGGCACTTGCACACTGTTGGTGGAGTGTAAACTAGTGCAGCCATTACGGAAAACAGTATAGACTTTACTCAAAACACTAAAAATAGAACTGCCATATGACCCAGCAATCCCACCACTAGGTATATATCCAAAGGAAATGAAATCAGTATGTCAAAACGCTATCTGCACTTCCATGTTTATGACAGCACTATTTACGATAGCTGAGATATGGAATTAACCTAAGTGTCCGACAACACTTAGGTTGACTCCATAAATAGATAAAGAAATGTGGTATATATACTCAACGGAATACTATTTAGCCATAAAAAAAGAATAAAATCCCATTATTTGTGACAACATGGCTGAGCCCGGAGGACACTATGGTAAGAGAAATAAGGCAGACACAGAAACACAAATACCACATGTTCCCACTCATATGTGGAACCTAAAGAAGTTGATCTCATAGAAGTAGTGAATAGAACAGTGTTACCAGAGACTGGGGAGAAGAGAGGGGTGATGGGGAGAGGTTGGCCAACGGGTACAAAGTTACAGTTACAAAGGAAAGGTAAGTTCTGGTATCCTATTGCACAGCAGTGTGACTATAGTCAACATTAAGGTATTGTATGTCTCAAAACAGCTAGAAGAGAGGATCTTGGATGTTCTCACCACAAAGAAATGATAATCGTTTAAGGTGATGGATATGCTAATGACCCTGATTTGATCATTACACAGTGTACACATGTATCAAAACATCATATTGGACCCCATAAATATGTACAATTATTATGTATCAATTAGAAATAAAGATAATAAAAAATTTGCTAAAAATCATTGAATCGTGCACTTAAAATGGGTAAATTTGATGGCATGTAAATTATATCTCAATAAACTGCTTAAAAAAATGGAAGGAAGAACGTTGACCTCCCAAACTGGTACAAGGATCTTGTGAGATGGCCCCCACAGCATGCCCAGAGCCTGGTATGGACTTGCTGCCCAGTAGCTGCCAGTCCTCTTCCCTCCCCGGGCACAGACAAGAGCAGAGGTTAAGTCTGTGATCTGTTGCTAAAGCTTCCCTCAAGTCCAAAGTTTTAACTTGACCATTTATAATCTCGTTTTTAATGACAAAAACATGCATACTTGTTCTAAGAAATATGAAACCATTTAGAAATCTATGATATAAAAAGCGATAGACCCTCCTTATATAAATATACATATAAGGAGTTAGGTTTTATTTTGTTGTTGTCGCAGTCGCTTTTTATAAAGAAAAAGGTGGAGGTCACGTTATTAGTGTTTTAATCGAGGGTAGCAAACCCCAAATGCCCATGGGGCCATGGGGGTGATAATAAGCTTCATAATAAATAATGTATAATAATAAATAATAAATGAATGAAGTGTCCCAGGTTTTGCAAATGAAACCCAGAGACACAGTCTTCATTTCCACAAAGAAATAGGCTCCATCTCATTTTCCCTGAAACACACCTTTTGTTTCTCTGCTTTTGATAGAGACAGGGAACAGTGCAGTATAAGAAAAGCTACAAAATTCAAGAGATCTATTGTACCACGTGGTGACTATTGTTAACAACAATGTATTGTATTCTTGAAAATGACTGAGAGTAGATTTTGTGCTCTCACCACAAAATAATAAGTTGTCAAGTCTTGCATATGTTAATTAGCTCAATTTAGCCATTCCACAATGTATACATATTTCAAAAGAACATGTTGTACATAATAAGCATATACAATTTTTGTCAATTGAATAAATAAATTTAAAAAAAAAAGAAAGAAAATCTACAGCACGAGGGCAATGATCATTGTACCGACCCCAGCCTCAGTGTCAGGGATGCGACGGGCAGTGGTGGGGACCGTGGAGGGGGACAGTACATGCTTCACCAGAAGGGGGCGGCCACTCCTCGGCTCTAGGATTTGGTGCCCAGTACCAATGGAGACCAAGAGGTACCAACAATCTGGCTGTTTATGTTTTTAAAATGTTTAAATATTTTTAATTTAAATATTTAAAAAACTGTTATGTGAACCAAATCAAACATAGCCATTAGCCAAATCACCCATCTT